GTAAAGTTACCTGAATGTCTGGAAAAGTACTGATGTTAGCTGTACCTTGCCTAAGTCCCTCCTAGCTTGGTGTGAAACTCCTCCCCTAAATAAAGCAGAGGCCCGTGCCTCCCCAGGTGTGCATTACTGGTTGGAAGGCATGCAGTAAGATTGCAGGGCAGTGAGTTGCTGCCTGCGGAAGCCATGATGCCTGTACTCCCAAGCCTGCCCACCAGTGACGCATCCACCCTGGCTTTGGGGTGCCTCATTGTCTAGCTTCTTCTGTTTGTCTGTGTATTCTTTTGCTATCCCTATCGCCGCTGGATCTCCCCTCCTCGTGAACCAAACACTCCTGAACAACACAACTATGTCGAGGGCAAACCCCGACAACTACAAGTCAGAGAGTTACATTTCAAAATAAGAATAATGAAAATCTTCAGAGTTGAATCAATAAACAGCATTATGATAAATAAAGACATGATTGGAGTTATCGAATAATTCATTTTCACTTGACATTTCAACTTGATATTAATAATCATCTTTATTCATAGTTGAAAAGCAAAATTATGCATAACCATTCTTGTTAGTAGAATTTCTTCTAACATTGAAGTTCCTCGATAATCCTAAATCATTACCTAGTGATGATTTCTCCTGTCCTTTCTGATTTGTGGTAAACTAGCTCAAGTTTAACTTGTAATTACTCTAAGGTTCAGAGGAAAATAAACTGATTTTAATTTTTATAGAGCTAGGAACAAAAGAAGAATATACAAAAATCGTTCTGTGAATGTAAGTGACACACTAAGAAAAATGTTATCTCCCCTGTTTCACATGTTTGTTTGAAGTTTTTCAGGTTTGTTTTGTTCTATTTCTTTGTTTGGTTTCCTTTTATACAACCTCATATCCTCCACTGATCCAGATGAAAGTCATGAATATGAGTACTTTTCTGATAAATAAGGGGACATTGAGTAATAACACTATCCCATACATATTAAATGCCGACTATGTAGCAAGTACAGTTATAGCCCTTCAAGTGTAAATCCCACAAACTGGTGAGTGCTGAACCATTATTATTTGCTCCATTTCATAAATGTTTTTCTGGGACTTAAAATTGATCCAACAAAGTTGAGGCACACATTTATTAAGCTATCAGGACTGAATTTGAATCAAAGGATTCTGGTTCTTGAGTTTATACTCTAAACCAATACACTGCTATTGTCATTAAGTGCCATTAATTCAGATCTGACCCA